CACTATCCCTTAGCAGCTTTCCAATTTAGGTGCAAGTCGCAGACGCCAACCTCATGGCAGGAGCGGTTGTGGCGAAAACAGTTTATTTCTTCAGTTCAATAAATTGCAAATGTCAAACGATTACGCGCCATATTTAAGTTTTCAATAATACAGTTTTTTTAAATATAGGTTTTTAGATTTGTTTTCGTCTATATCAATAAATAAGTAGGTTATTAACTTTTAATAAACGAATACAATTTTTTTTGCATATTTTACATTTTTTAAGCATATTTTATAATTTTTTCGTCCATAAACAATAAACATAATTATACAACTATTACTACTACAATTTTAATGTACTCCACGATAAGTTGTTTTAGAGTTATACCAATTATCAATATCTAAAATCGATATCGTATTTTTTTTCCTCGGAGCTTTTGAAAACTACTGAGAATTTTAAAAATAAATAGTAAAATATTCACCACCTGAAAGCATTGGCTGCGCACATCTATGGTCATAAGTTATGACAACATAGGTTAGGTTAGGTTTAGTTATGACTCATAACTAATAAATAATAACCAATAACTTTTGTATTTTAGTAAATAATATTATTATTTTTTATTTAAAACGGATTCTATCGGAATAATAATAATAATAATAGATCTTCAGGATCGTGTCTTGCTGTTGTTATATTATATATCTACTTATTAATATTAATTATTATGAATTATGATATATACAACTATGAACTAAAATYGGAAATCGAGGAACATAATCAAAGAATACTCGTAGGTATCCAATTAAATATGTTGATACATGTCATGAATGCGGAATTCGTCAACATTAAGTTCGATCGTTCGCCGCTAGGAGAATTTGTACTATTTTCTCTCTCTCTCTCTCTCGTGCTAATAATGTATTTGAATTGTATTTAAGTTGTATGCTATCTCTTTCTAACAACGTTTACCCTGGACATCTCTCTCTGCTATCAGTACATTTCTTTATATTTATATGATTATACCGCGTAGCTTTTTGAAGCAACCGCGACCGGCCGGTCACTCGTCTCAGTCTTAGYCCAAAAATTATAGACGTTGTGTCCACAAAAGATGTAAGTACTATATTGATGACAACCTTTTAATATTAGTGATGGGTCGAACCTTGATTTTTTTATCAAACTGAATTTGAACCGAACTTTAAATTTTGTTTTTTCGAACTCAAACTGAACTAACTTTCATATTTTCTACCGAACCGAACAGAACCGATCCTATTATGATATATACGCATACATGTAAATATATCCCAATAACCTAACCGTCCAGGGACAGCAAGAGCACACCTTTCTGCCCCTGTGCTCACGCCTATGCTGATGTTCAACATGTTTTTAAACTTAATGCCTATAATATTTAATTTATGTCTAGATGTCTGTAATATACCAATTTTATGGGGGTGATGGCGGTGGCCGTGGCCGCGGACCAACTCCAAATAGAAACAGTAAGTATATTAAATATTTACTAATTTGTTTTTATAGTTGAATTAATATAATATTCAGGAGTTCAGGTATATCATGTATAGGTTATAAATGTTATTTATTAAATATGGCATATGTGTTATGTATGACCTGAAGATAATATGTGATGCGTATGTATACATTAGGGAGTGGAAGTGACGGGGAGTGGGCTTTTGTTTGTTAGGAATGTAATAGTAGCTAGGAGGGGGTTTAGAATTAATTTAAGATTGTTAAGGAATTGGTGACGATTTTCAGAGGTTGATTGGATGGTGGTGTGTTCGCTGTGAAATAAATACTTCCATAAAAAGTATTGCTTTTTTTTGTATTTCACTTGTTATCAAAAATATAACAGTTAGTGATGTTATTTTATTATCTAGTTACATTGCTCTTTACATCACATCTTGTTTTAAAATGCATTTTATGACTCAAAATCTGACATCTGTTAAATGAGTTGAAATCTAGACTTGCCGAAATTGTTTTAATTTAAAAAAAAAACAATCAACATTTTATCATGGATATGTTTTAATTTCAATTCTTTTGAATTTTTAGAATGCCCATACTGCAAAAAAAGAGAGCATGCTACTTCCAGCACCAACACCAGCACCAGCTGAAGATGCGGCTGCGTTGGCTAAAAAATACAACAAAGCATCGAAAGCAGCAGCAACAACAACAGCAGCAACAACAGCAGTAACAACAACAGCAGCAACAACAACAATATAGAAAAATTAGTTTACAAAAATAAACGAATAGATTGTCTTTATGAATTATGTATTTTTATTCCCTTGTCATAATTGTATCTATAATTGTGTTTGTGTATTAGTTGAGGTTACCAATTCKTAGGTGTTTTGTAATTTCAAAATATGAGTAAATATAATGATAATAATGTTCAAAATGGTACATAAACAGTAACATTTAAGGAAAAAAATAATAAAACCAGTTGGGATCGCGTTCAGACTTCAGGGTAGGGTTGTGTTTACGTAATTTAAATAGGTAGTATTTAAATTTAAAATAGCGGAACAAAAATAAATGAAAAACTACTGGTATCAAAAAATAGGTGAAGTTCGCCTTCTAGGTATATATTTTTCATAGACTTATAATATTATAACTTATAAATCTATGATATTTTCCACGAAGGCTAGAGATAAGGAGACCAAACTCCGTATACAAAATAATATGGCCCGCTAAAAGTCGCACGGCTAAAAAAAAGTTTTAAGTTCAAAATAATATACTATAATTTAATTTATTTATTTAATTAATTCAAACGGTCAAAGCCCAGTAACAGTTTTAAATCAAAACATAAAAGAAAAAAAAATGAACAATTAGAAAGAGAAGAAAAGTGAACAGAGTGAGATTAAGACATATTATTAAATACCTATACAATATAATTATAATTATTAATATTCCATCACTGTATGGAGGTATTGGTATATAAATATTTATTAAAGCTTTGATAATTTTCTATTACACTTGGTTGGTTTTTTTCTTTTGAAGTTTCATTAAAGTTTGAAGGTTTCACAATAATAAACATCGTTTAATATAGTCTCGTTAAAAAGCAAAATATCATTGTCTCGAAATGTAATTCRCACACATAACACTTTTCTGTAAGCATTTTGTCCTTTCTAGCCTTTTATGGCTCTATGCCATCTTGCTAAAAGTTCTGTATTCTAAATAACACATATAAGCATATTATATTATTATAACAGATAATTAAATAGGAAAATGATTATTTATAAATAAGGTTCAAAAATATTTTGTTTTTTTTTTCTTTGGGTGCATTAAATAAACTGATTTTTTAAACCATTTTATTTTTGTTGTTTCACATCTAGAGCATAACCAGTTTTACACCCTGGTACAAAACACTTCTAAATAAACACTTCTAATAATAAAGTTGATTTAAAATAAAAATATTCCATATAAAATCAGAACCATATGGTTATAACTTATAATGTTATAATATGTACCTAATTGTTAAAATATAAAAAAAAAATCAATGTATAAAAAGAAATACAATTTTATACTTTTTAATTATCATTTATAAATTGAACCATCATATTGAGCAAAATTTGTAAATTCTTGAGGTTCTGGAACTTAGTATATAGAGCATAATTATATGGAGTAAATAAAGTTGGCTTCGGAATTGGATTTGGTGGATTATCTTGAGGGGGTTAAGTATGATTAATATAAAATGTTCCGAATGTTATGTGAGGTTCTGACAATCATAAGGCTCTGATTCTAAATCAAGACTGACTCGCTTGTGTTATACACAGCGAGTCGTTGCTCCGTCCGGCCGAAAGGGTTTGCTCAGCACATTCCGTTTTTGCCGGAGGTGGTGTACAATATCACTAATACTAATAACATTTATTCTACATATAATAAGTAGCCAGGGGTTCTTAGCATTCAAAACAGTCTCTTATATTTCTCCACCTTTTTTTACAATCATTCACTAAATTGTATTCAATAATAATAAAATTAATTAATATAGTCACTTATACCATTGATTAAATATACATAGATAGCCCACGCAATGATAAATATTGGAAACGCATGTAATGTCTTAAATGGGGCCAGAATTGTAGTAGTAATGGATTCCTGACAACAGGATGCGCTGAAGTGTCATATAAACATTTGTAACCTCAAATTTATTGTTATCTTATTACTAATATCATTGATATCATTATATCAAATTAATCAATGTTGATACTTCGCTCATCGCATTTAAAACTTAAACGTTAAAAGTTATAAGTTTGAAATAAAATCACTTTTCTATATGTCACGAAGTGGAAATAAGTGTGCTTATATACGATGTGGAAAAAGTGCTCGTTTAGAACCAGATCTTAAATTATACCGTTCTCCAAAAGATATAAATTTATCAAGGCAATGGATTTTAAATTGTGGTAAGTACATAATTAATAAATATCATTGAATGTATAATGTACCAATTAGCAGCCCTAGATAAAAACAAAATATTACACATTCAATTCGCCCCGTTAAGTTAGACAGTTATCATTAATTAAAACCAAATAATTAAGTTAGAAAGTTACTTTAAAAGTAACATTAAATATGTAATAATGAGTAATATGTTAATCCAGCCTGCCCATTGCAATGTTAAGTATGTTCTCATTAAAGATGTCTTTAAAGTTTTTAAAACTGATAATAATAGATGAAAATGACTCAATTTCATATTAGGTATATTGTAATAATACAATATTTATTTTTTTAATATTATATTTAGGTAATAGTGATTTGGCAGATCTCACCCAAGATGAATTATACAAACGGCACATTTGTGGTCATCATTTTCTTGACGAAAGCTTTACTAGGTATAACAAAATGCATAACAAATGCAAAATACCTGTTAATATACCTATAAAAACATATTCTGCACCATCAAAATTTTCATCAAGTTTTTGAAATTGAAAGAATACAGTCTACATCAACAACCTCATTTTGTGAGTCAACTAATAGAATTCGATTAATAACACCAGTAAAATCTACAAAGTATAGTACATCACAATCTAATGTTTGACCAGTGGCGCCCAAGGGGGGGTCAAGGTGGTTCAATTGAACCAGGTATATTTAGGGTGGGGTGTCCTTAAGTTAGGAAACATCACAACATGTTTTAGCATGTGAAGTGAATATCATCGAGTACAAATTACAATGTTGTGGTTATAAACAT